GCAGCGCACAGTCAACTTGTGGAACTCCTTACCTGAGGAGGTTGTGAAGGCTAGGACTATAACAGAGTTTAAAAGAGAACTGGATAAATTAATGGTGGTGAAGTCCATTAATGGCTATTAGCCAGGATGGGTAAGGAATGGTGTCTCTAACCTCTGTTTGTCAGAGGGTGGAGATGGATGGCAGGAGAGAGATCACTTGATCATTGCCTGTTAGGTTCACTCCCTCTGGGGCACCGGGCATTGGCCACTGTCGGTAGACAGGATACTAAGCTAGATGGACCTTTGGTCTGACCCAGTACGGCCTTTCTTATGTTCTTATGTAGCAGGCTGGGCAGAAACACTGTCTCACAGCAGGTGATTTCGGCTCTAGTGGTCACTTAAACCAATAAGACTCCTAATGGAGCCTTAATTAACTCTATCTTTCAAGAGTGCTGAGGGGCAGATTAAACCATGTCTAAACCCCTTACACAGAGCCCACACCCCTCAGCAGGAACACCCATCTCCACCCCCTCTCACTCTTGATAGGGGGTCTGGTATCTGAGCCCCCTGGTTAGTTAGTTCAGTTCAGTTCAGTTGTGGGTGACCCCCTCAGTCAGGGCAGGCTAAGCACAGTTCTGCTGCCCTTTACTCACACAATCAGGACAACATCATTTCGCTACCTCTGCATTCAGGTACGACAGTGATTTGTAACCCAGCACCAGCCAACACAGCGCTGTCTGCTGGATACCTAGGCAGAGAGGGTTTGTTCATGTAAATATAGTCTGGTCCTGAAGTGTTTTCCCCTCCCCAGCTCATCACTCGCTATCAGGGGAGAGCTCATTCCCACCTTGCCCACCTCTAGCTAGTTCAGCCATGTGACTTTGCATCCTCAAGGTCCAGTCTTCTAACGGGGCTCTCCTCCACCACGTGTGACTGTCTGTATTGCTGCCCCACAGGCACACTGAGAAGTTCAGGCTAAGCCAGGTTTCTGCATTGCCAGATTGCTACATTACCCAGCCACACGAGAGATCAGATGCACAGGAATCTCCCTGGGTGTTTATTCCCTTGCGTGTTTGCAGACTCAGACATCTCAGAACCGGCTCAGATCCGACTGGTGAACAGCAGGAGTCGCTGCGCTGGGAGGGTCGAGGTGCTTCACAACCAGCAGTGGGGAACCGTGTGTGATGACAGCTGGGACTTACAGGATGCCGGAGTCGTGTGCAGGCAGCTGGGCTGTGGGACGGCGTTATCAGCCCCAGGAGGGGCTCGCTTTGGGCGAGGGTCAGACCGTATCTGGCTGGATGACGTCAACTGTACAGGGACAGAAGCTGCCCTCTCTGATTGCCGGGTGCAGTCTTGGGGAGAGAGTGACTGTACCCACGGAGAAGCTGCCAGTGTTGTGTGCTCAGGTAACTTGCATCCATCACGTCACTGAGGGTGGTGCAGGGATCGGGCTGGGAAGCTTTCAGCACAGACCCAGCTCTCCTGTCTGAGTCAGCGCTGACCCCAGTGCCCCAGCATGGTGCTAAGGGCCTGTACTGCAGGGAGCCAGTTCGGGGTCACAGTAAGTGTCGCTCTTCCCATGGTGTCAGTGCTGACCCCATTTTCCCCACCCAGTTCTACAGGCCTGTGCTGCAGGGAGCGGGATGGGGGCTCAGTGGGGGGCGCTCTCACCTCGCAGTCAGTGCTGAGCCCAGTGCCCCAGCGCAGCACTTAGGGCCACCCGTGGTGAGTGCCCCCGGATCCAGCACCCCACCCTCCATCCCGCGCCCCAAATGCCTTCCCCAAGCCCCCTCCCACACCCAAACTCCCTCCCTTTTAGTTAACCGGCATTTTTCATTTACCAGCACCCCCCATTGCCCCAACATGCTGGAAAAAACAATTTTAACTGTAATAATATAAAGTGAGCACTGTAGACATTGTATTCTGTGTTGTAACTGAAATCAATATATTTGAAAACATAAAAAAACATCCAAAATAGTTAATACGTTTCAATTGGTATTCTATTGTTTAACAGTGCGATTAAAACTGCAATTTAATTTTTTAATCACGATTTATTTTTTGAGTTAACTGCGATTAATTGACAGGGAGTGAACCCCTGTCAGTGGGAGGCGCTATGTTCTTCTTTGAGTGATTGCTCATGTGCATTCCAATAGGTCTCCGTGCCGCATGCACGATCGTCGGAAGGTTTTTCCCCTAGCGGTACCCGTCGGGTCGGCTGTGGAGACCCCTGGAGTGGCGCCTTCATGTATATAGGTCCCTGCCGACCCGCCGCCTGCTCAGTTCCTTCTTACGGCCAATGACGGTTGTTGGAGCAGCTGAGTCTCTTGCATTCGCAAGTGCCTACCTAGTGGTTCCCTTTTCTTAGTTGTAGATAGTTAATAGTTAGTTATTTAATAGTTAATAGTTACAGTAGCATAGTTGGGGGGGAGCAGGGGGAGCACCTGCTCCCCCGAGCCCAGAATTCCCCAAGTGGCGCCTTTTCCATTCATCTGTGATTTCGGTGGCGTGGTGCTCCGTTTTTTGGTGGCCTTGCGCATGCGTCACTCCATCTTTTTGCGGCATTTCGGTGCATGCGCAAGGCCGCCGAAATGCCCCCACTCTGTCTTTCGAAATGCCGCCAAAAGACATGCGCGTTTTTTCGCGCCGCTCCTCCTCGGCAGCAAACCTGGCTACGCCACTGGATAGTTACCCTCCCCCCTTGCATTCTCGAGTCTCTCCACTGGCGGCTGCAGCGGGAGTTCCCTTTGCCAAACCCCATCCTACGCTATCGCTTGTCACGGACGTCTCGGCGCTCGGTTGGGGAGCGCACCTGGGCAATATCAGAACCCAAGGGCTATGGTCCCACACAGAACTATCGCTGCACATCAATGTAAGGGAGCTGAGGGCAGTTCGTCTGGCATGCCAAGCATTCCAGGCTCACCTTCAGGGCGCATGTGTGTCGGTTCACCTGTCCTGTCACGGAGGGGAATTAACCCCAGCAGCTCATTTCACATTTTGGGCATCAGAGAACTGCAATGGCTGCGACTTCCACTCACTACCAGCTTGGACCCAGGGCTGCCACAAAACGATGTTGCCTAGTTTCTAGTAAGGTGGGCTGACTTTGGGGGCTTTCCCCCCACCCCAGTTTCCCCAGGCACCTGGGCATGCCTCGGTCACAGGGGTTTAAGGTGTGCGAGAGGTGTGCCAAACCTATGCCCACAAGCGATCCGCACGCTCCTTGTCTCAAGTGCTTAGGAGACAGTATCAGACAGACAAGGGCCCAATTTGCAGGAGTTTTAGACCCAGGACTAAGAGAGAGCGGGACTATCGTTGAAAGTTCCTCCTGATGGAGTCGGCCCTTCGCCCCAGCCAGCACCGGAAATGGCACCGGCATCATCGGTGCGCAGCGCCGTGGCCTCGGTGCAGGATGTCCCGGCACCGAGAAAGGACTCCTGCAAGGAGCACTGGCTCCGCTCCCCTGCTCGTAAGGCCAGTGTTACCAGGCGGCACCGCTCAGTGTCCCCGGGGCTGCCTAAGAAAAAGAAGGCGGACAGGGCTCGTTTCCCCGTCAAGAAGCCGCGAGAGGATTCCACTGGGGTGCATCCTGTGGCGGGACACCCACGGTCTCAACCTCAAGACCCAGCGCCGTTGACTCTGGCCCCAACCGGAGGCTCGGCGAGTCTGGTGCTGGTGGACTCCCCGACTCAGGAAGATTTGAAGGAAGAGCTCGACCTCCCCTCCATGCCAGACACCTACGAGGCAGCGTGGGACCTACTGCCATGATGGTGCAGTCCCCGGCCTTGCAGGTACGAACTCCGGCACCACAAGCTCAGGCACCATCAGCAGCACTGACGATGGCACCGGCTGCAGCCTCTATGGAGGCACTGCATATGGCTCCGGCACCAGTTGTGGCACTGATGGCAGCACCGCCCCTGGTTCATCATCGCGACAAGCCCATAATGTTACGGCACCGCTCACCATCGCCACGGTACCGCTCCCCGGAACCGTCGCGCTCCACTCCCTCGTGGTCGGGCACCGAGTACTCATCCGAGTCAGAGGCTGAGTCTTCTGTCTCTTGACGCAGCCAGTACCGCTCCCGCTACTGGCACTCCAGAGCCGTGGACTCATCGGCACCGGCGGTCTCCTGGCCACCCCAGTGGCAGGGCCAGGTACAATGGCCCTTTTGGACTCCTTGGACCGATCATCAGACTCTGGGTCAGGCCCCCAGCAGTGTCAGTGGCTCGCCTCACCCCCAGGGCTCCTGAGGAGCCCGCACGAGACAGGGACTCTGGGCCGTCATGCTCAGGCCCAGCACCAGAGCCAGTGCCACCAGTTGTACTGGAGCCACCTCCAGTTACAGGGGGACCAAGGCACCCGACCCAGCCTGCAGAGATACAGAAAGGCAGGAAGACCTGGTCCCACAGGCCTCCTCCTCCTCCTCGCCGGATGACAGACACCAGGGGACACCAGGACCTTCACAGGAGGATGGCCCTAAACCTGAATCTCCGGGCAGAGGAGGTTACAGAGGAGTCGGACCCGATGGTGAACATCCTTGCCCTGGAGGGTCCATCTCGGGTGGCCTTGCCCCTGATAAGAATGATCCAGAACACTCCTAGGGTGCTCTGGCAGACTCCGGCCTCAATACCACCCACTGCTAAATGGGTGGAGAGATGCTATTTTGTGCCGCAGAAAGGGTACGAACACCTTTTCACGCACCCCAACCGGGTACTCTGGAGCTTCATGCGGCAAATCATAAGGAGCGATAGGGGCAGCCGGGTCCCGCCCCAAAGTCACGGGGTGCTAAGAAGCTGGACCTTTTTGGCCGAAGGCCTACTTGACCACGGGACTCTAGCTTCGAGTGGCCAACCAGCAAGTGGTACTCAACCACTATGCTTTCAATTCCTGGAGCTCGTTACCAAAATACCAGGAGTTGCTTCTTGCTGACTCATACAAGGAGTTTAGCGCTCCCCTCGAGGAGGGCAGAGTGGTCTTGAGAACCTCCCTCCAGGCCGCGTTAGAAGTGGCAGACTTGACGACTTGTACTGTGGCCACTGCCATTACAAGGAGACACAATGTGTGGCTGCAGGTGTCGGGGATACCACCTGAGGTCCAGAACACGATCCAGGACCTCCCCTTTGACCGTGCAGGCCTGTTTGCCCAAAATACAGACTCTCGCCTGCACAGCCTTAAGGAATCGCGGGTGACTTTAAAGTCTTTGGGTGTCCACATCCCTGCACCCCAAAGAAAGTCATTTAAGCCTCAGCCCCCGTCTCACTTCTACTCTGGACCTCTGAGGTGAGACTCATCCAGGAGACGGGACAGGAATAATAGGAGGCGCCCACCACAGTCCTCCTCAGGCCAAGGCCAGGGTTTGGCCAAACAGCCCCCAGGCCCAAAGCCAAACTTTTGAAGATGCACCCGAGGACGGAGCATCAGTATCGAACTCAGATCCTTATCCTCCCTTTATGAATCGATTCTCCCGCTTCTGCCGTGCTTGGTCCAAGATCATGTGAGATCACTGGGTCCTGAGCACGGTAGGGATGGGATATTCTATCCAATTCTGTTCCCTCCCACTCTCCCACCCCCCCTTCCCCGTTCCTCTTCAGGGACCTTCTCACAAACAACTCCTCTTGCAAGAGGTGCAATCACTCCTCGCTCTATGGGCAATACAGGCGGTTCCTCAGGAGTTCAGGGGCAAGGGGTTCTACTCCCCCGCCGGCCTATCCTGAATCTGCAAGACTTCAACACATTCATGAGGAAAGTGAAGTTTCACATGGTCTCTCTGGCCACCACCATTCCTTCCCTGCATTCAGGGGACTGGTACGCCGCCCTCAACTTGAAAGATGCGTACTTTCATATCTCCATTATCCCGGCCCACAGACGTTTCCTTCGTTTTGTGGTCAGTGGCCAGCACTACCAGTTCAGGGTGCTCCCATTTGGGCTCTCGGCGGCCCGCCAGGTAGTCACAAAGTGTATGGCAGTTGTGTTACCAGATTTGTCCGTTACTTTGGGGTATGCTCATCTATTCGGGTTATTCTTCGGGGGCGTCTGTAATTCTATCAATGTACTGCTTGTGTCACTTGTGTTTTCATATGGAACTCTACTTCTCCCTTCTGCGAGTCCCCTTCCAATGGAGCTATCCTGCAGGACCTAGATTCCCCAGGGCTGGGTTCCTCCAGACCCAGAACTGGATGAACACCCACCCCCACACATACATTAACAGAGCAAGTCTGAGTGGACCGGGTCAATCAGCACTTTCAAACTGACCCCTTATATGTCTCTGGACTCACTGGGCTGGAGGAAGCAGCACTTTCAAGCTGCATCCCCTTATATGCCCCTGAGCTCCATGGACTGGGTCAAGCAGCACTTTCAAGCTGTTACCCTTATGCGTCCCAGATTCAGCACATCCGTATTCCCACTCTCACATCACAATTGTACTGGCAGTAACCTACTTGATGAGCAAACCCCACAGGATTTGGGCGCTGCAGGGATCTTTAGCTTAGGTAAAAGAAGTGTCGCTGTAGAGTGAATGGGGGAAGCTAAGAACACAAACGAGTAAAGTTCAGCAAGAGAGAGAGAAGCACCCAGCTTAACCATACAAGTTATTTATTGAATTCTAGTGATCACTACACAAGGAGCTAAACCAACATAACATACATGATTAAAGGTTAATATTTAAGGTAGAGAGGAAAACAAAGAGAGAGAGAAAGAAGGGGATCTCACTGCTCCCTCAAGCTTGAACTGGTCGGGGTTCCCAGGTCATGGCGGTAGCTCAGGCTCCCGAGGGCAGGAGACAGGCAGAGCGCCCCGCATGATCAGTCAGGAGATGGAGGCCCAGTGGAACTGATGCAAAGCTTGGGTGAGTAGGGATTTTTGTAGAGAAAATACAATGGTTCAAGGGAGAACACTAGATTTGTTTATAGGTAAACTGATGACTCATAGGTTTTCTTTAGGCTAGACAATAGGAGCTGATCACTCTTGGCTATGGGTGGGGTTTTCTTCCAGGGAGCTCCCAATGCAACTAGGCTGCTTCAGTATTTTGGATGTCAATCAAGGATTCATTACTAGAATTGGTCTGATAACTGCTGAGCTGGGTGTGTGCAGGCGTGGGTTCATTAACATCTGGAGCAGAGATTCCCATGATGCAGTGCATCCCTGTTTTTCTGGTCCCAGAGTTCAGTGTGGTTCTCTGTTCTCCATTCTGTATGCAAATTGAGATGTCTCCCTGTCCCATCTCTCATGCAGATGAGGCTTGGGGAGTTGTCTCTGTTCTTCATTCTGTATGCTAATGGAGATGTCTTAATCTTGTCACCCTTGTCAGGAGAGGCCAACGCCCTTCACAGCTCTCTGCAAGTCTTTTCTCTGATGGGTTTTGGTTTAAGCAGAGGCTGGTAGGGAGGTATTTTTCATGAGTCAGACAGGCTGGATACTGCACCCTGGTTCCCCAAGAACACAGAGCTGACTGGTATCAGTCGTGGCAGTCTTCCTCCGCAAACGTCAGGTGCAAGTATTCCCATATCTGGACGACTGGCTCATCAAGGCCGAGTCACAAGCACAGGCGGCAGAGCATGTGTCTCTGGCTCGGGCCACCTTCCGCAGGCTGGGCCTCATATTGAATGTGCCCAAATCCACACTAGCCCCGATGTAGAGAATAGAATTCATAGGCGCTCTCGTGGACTCCACACAGGCCAGGACGTTCCTGCCCGAGCTGCGTGTCCAAGCACCTCACGGACATTATCAAAAACCTTCGCCAATTCCCCATAACCACGGCCAGAAATTGCATGAAAGTGTTGGGCATACGGCGGCCTGCACGTACGTGGTCCAGCACACCCCAGGTTGCACCTTCGGCCCCTCCAGGCGTGGTTGGCGCGGGTACACAGGCCGGGCAGGGACCCACTGGACCGGATAGTTACCCTCCCCCTTTGCATTCTCGAGTCTCTCCACTGGTGGCTGCAGCGAGAGTACCCTTTGCCAAACCCCATCCTACGTTATCGCTAGTCACAGACGTCTCGGCGCTCAGTTGGGGAGCGCCCCTGGGCAATATTAGAACCCAAGTCCTATGGTCCCACACAGAACTATCGCTGCACATCAGTGTAAGGGAGCTGAGGATGGTTCGTCTGGCATGTCAAGCGTTCCAGGCCCGCCTTCAGGACGCATGTGTGTCGGTGCTGACGGACAACACTGCAGCAATGTTGTATATAAAAAACCAGGGAAGTGCTTGTTCCTCTCCTCTGTGCCAGGAAGCCCTCGAGCTGTGGGACTTTTGCATGGCTCAATCGATACACCTAGAGGCATCGCACCTTCCGGGAGCGCAAAACGAGCTAGCTGATCACCTCAGCCGCTCGTTTCATAGTCTCCTCAGGCCGGACATCGCGCACTCGATTTTCCAGAGGTGGGGCTTTCCGCACATAGACCTCTACGCGACGCGGAGCAACAGGAAGTGCCAGCGGTTCTGCTCTTTCCTGAACCACAGCCCAGGCTCCATCGCGGACGCCTTTCACCTTTCATGGACAAGTCACCTGCTGTACACGTTCCCGCCCTTCCCTCTCATACACAGAGTCCTCCTCAAGACTTGCTAGGACAGGGCTTCCTTTATCCGCATAGCACCAGCATGGCCCCGCCAGCACTGGTTCACCCTGCTGATGAACCTCTCAGTGGATAGACCAGTAGCCCTTCCTGTGTGCCTGAGCCTCATCACATAGGACCACAGCCACCTACAACACCCCAACCTGGAGTTCCTCTACCTCATGGCATGGAAATTCCATGGCTGAACCCTCATGAGCTTCAGTGTTGGGACCCAGTGAGGGAGGTCCTGCTGGGAAGTAGGAAACCCTTCACTCATGACACGTTCCTGGCAAAGTGGAAGTACTTTTGCATCTGGTCTCTGCAGAGGAGCACTGAACCGCAGCCAGCGCCAATTCCCCTGGTTTTGGACTACCTGTTATACCTCCAGCAGCAGGGGTTGGCAATATCATCTCTCAGGATACACCTGGCTGCCATTTCGGCCTTCCACCTGCAGGCAGCTGGTAGGTCAGTCTTCAGCAATCCCATGGTGGGCTGGTGTCTCCAGGGCTTGGACAGACTTTATCCCCAGGTACAACGGCCCGTTCCCCATTGGGATCTCAACCTGGTCCTGTCCACGCTCATGGGGCCCCCTTTCGACCCCTTGGCGACCTGCCCTCTGTCCTACCTTTCCTGGAAGGTGGCCTTTCTGGTGGCCATAACCTCGGCCAGAAGGGTATCCGAGCTCAGAGCGCTGACTTCCGAGCCCCACTATAATACAGTCTTTTATAAAGACAAGGTGCAGCTACGCCCTCACCCCGTGTTTCTGCCAAAAGTAGTCGCCCAGTTTCATGTGAACCAGGACATATTTTTACCTGTGTTCTTCCCTAAGCCACATCTCAGTAACAGAGGGTCCATGTTCCATTCTCTGGACGTCAGGTGTGCCCCAGCATTCTATACTGAGCGCAGAAAGCCATTTCATAAGTCACCACAGCTCTTTATTGCAATCGCAGAAAGGATGAAGGGGCTTCCGATCTCATCCCAGCGCATTTCATCATGGATCACGTCCTGTATCAGGACTTGCTACGACCTGACTAAAATTCCAACCCCTTCACTTAGGGTGCACTCTATGAGAGCGCAGGCATCAGCCACAGCATTCCTGGCGCAGGTCCCTATCCAGGAAATATGCAAGGCAGCAATGTGGTCCTCTGTCCACACCTTCACATCACACTACACCATTACCCAACAGGCAGAGGACGATGCAGCCTGTGGAAGAGCAATCCTGCATTCCTCAACCAGGTGAACTCCAACCCCTCCCCCAGGGAAACTGCTTGGGAGTCACCTATTGGAATCAAGTATCAGGGGGTAGCCGTGTTAGTCTGTATCTACAAAAACAACAAAGAATCTGGTGGCACCTTAAAGACTAACAGATTTATTTGGGCTTTCGTGGGTAAAAACCTCACTTCTGGATGTTTTTTAAACTCATGAAAGCTTATACCCAAATAAATCTGTTAGTCTTTAAGGAGCCACCAGACTCCTTGTTGTTTTTGTACCTATTGGAATGCACATGAGCAACACATCTCGAAAAACAACAGTTACGAGAGGTAGGTAACAGTTTTTTCACTAGAATCACTAGTGATCAGATGCACAGGAACCTCCCTGAGTGTTTCTTCCCTTGGGCGTTTGCAGACGCTGGCATCTCAGAAGTGGCTCAGATCCGACTGGCGAACGGCCCGAATCACTGCGCTGGGAGGGTCGAGGTGCTTCACAACCAGCAGTGGGGAACCGTGTGTGATTACAGCTGGGACTTACAGGATGCCGGAGTCGTGTGCAGGCAGCTGGGCTGTGGGACGGCGTTATCAGCCCCAGGAGGGGCTCAATTTGGGCGAGGATCTGACCGTATTTGGCTGGCTGACGTCAACTGCAGAGGGACAGAAGTTGCCCTCTCCGATTGCAGGGCTCGGCCTTGGGGAGACAGTAACTGTACCCACGGAGAAGATGCTAGTGTTGTGTGCACAGGTAACTTGTATCCATCACGTCATTGTGGGTGGTGCAGGGATCAGGCTGGGAAGCTTTCAGACCCAGCTCTCCTGTTTGAGTCATCACTGAGAGAGAGACACCCCCAGCCTGCACTGCCCCCCCCCCCCTCCAGTGCAGTCCAGTCTGGTCTAGGTCACCAGTCTCCTGGGAGTGACCCCTTTAATGTGCTGGGCCCTGAGGCCTCCGTACCCGTCCCCAGGGGCAGGGCCGTGCCCTCAGCACCAGCAGCCCCGTCTCTCCCCACGGCGCCCTGCAGTGAGCCCAGCCCAACCTGCGGGAGGCTTGTACTGGGCCCCTCCAGGGCACCTGGCCGAGGGAGCCTTCCCAGCCGCACCAGCAGTCTTGGCATAGAGAGCAGGGCTAATAGTCACCTGGCTGCAGCATCCCGCAGCCCGGGGCTGGCACGGAGAGGCAGAGCTAAGCCACTGTCCAGGCTTGAGCTCTCGGTGTCCTTTCCAATCCCAGGTGAGCAGGGGCGGCTTTAGGCCGATTCAGCCGATTCGGCTGAATTGGGCCCCGCGATAAGAGGGCCCCGCGCTGCAGCTCTCCACCCTGTCCCCAGCTCACTTCCCCCTCCTCCCCTCCCCTGAATGCTCCGCCCCCTGCTCCTCCCCCTCCCCTGCTTCCCGCGAATCAGAGGTTCACGGAAAGTCTGAAAAGAAGCAGGGGCGGGCAGGCAGCACCAGATAACCCAGGGTGGTGGGGGGCGCGAGAAGGGCTCCGGGAAGGCACGGCCTAATCCGGCCCCAGTTCTGGCTGAGTGCGCCGGCCTGCGGCGCAGCTCTGGCGCAATCCACTGCGTGGAT